CTTTTGACTGTTTGGCCATATATATACATCTTACAGTAAGTTTATTCAGGTATACACAAATACAGTTACATAGATTATCATACATAGCATATGTGTAAAGTACCTAGGATGACCCAAAAAAGTCAGACTGAGTTATTTCAATGTTTCCAACATATTAATACATGTAAATTCTAGCAGCTTCAAATCAAGCGGGAGAAAGCTGGTAGGCCTACACGTGAGAGAATGAGTGCGCACTATGAAAAAAATAGGATACTCGGTTGTGCATTGTGGGAATGCTGTTTTAGTAATCCTTGTTCACAACGCCTTACTCCTCACAATACCTTACTTCTCACCGAACTGGAGGTTTTCTGTTCCCAAGTGATAGTTCTAACAGCAATGGAAGTGCCAGTGAAAGTGAATTCCATGGCTTTCAGGAGGGTGTGACCCAGAGCAGTGCCCAGGATAACGTAATTAGTGATGAAAACATAATGACCCACAACCTTCCACCTCTGGTGCTATGACATCTCATTCATGTTCACCTGTATCAGGATGAAAAAGGAAACTATTTCTCCGTGTACAGGACTCGGATGTGAGCAGTGAAAGTGATAGTGATTTCCAAGTTATTGAAAGCAGCTTGAGTTGCGACAGTGAGGGGATAATATTCTCCAGTGAAGCGGCAGTATGTACGATGCAGCATGTGTTCTGGTAGTGTGCCATATGCCATTCCAAGGAAAAGGAATAAATCTTGGAGTACATCCCGTGGCCCTACACCATGACCTGAGAGTGAAGATGATATTGTTACACTGGGGATGCGTAATGTGCGTGGGGGCTGCAGGTGGTGGTGTTGGCGGTGGCATGAGTCATTTGTCACCAGCATTGGGCCACGCTGCTAACTCAGCACAGCCACAACCAGCCTCAACCGCCCCCACACTCCACAACCACCTTTCAATATCCAGTACCCACCAGCAGACTGCATCTGGGATTGGCAGCAAGGTGCCAGTTTTGTTCTCAATCCCCATGATTTTGATGAAACACAGTGGAATACGGCCATTGTGTACACTTGGGAACAATGCCACTGAACTGGAATGCTTTGTTATTCTTCGATGAACCCCTAATGGAAATTATTGTCAGGGAAAGCAGAAGAGGTGTTTTGTCTGTGCATATACCACAAAATGCCCACAAAAATGCACACACTCATGTGTGAGGAGTGTAAAGCTCCACTGTGCATAACACTGCATTTCAAAGACTTCCACAAGCTGCAGCAGTTCTAGGAAAGTGTTCAGTGACTACATTTGTATATATATTATAGAACATTAGTAATAAAAAAAATTTTTGTATTGTTGGTTTGTGTAAACAAGTTTAGTAAACAATAATGATAATGTTTGTGCAATTATTGTATACAATGAGTGTATATTTGTACATTGCACCTTACTTTGGTCTCACAGGCCACATAAGTTACTCTGATTTTTTTTTTTTTTTTTTTTTGGAAAATGCAGGAAACCTTCGAATTGGAGTAAATAAAAGTATCCTAAATAATCCTAACATTTTGGTGGAAAAAATAATGCAGGGTCAATTTTTTTTTTTTTTTCAAAAACCTATTTTTCCAAAATATTATTTACAGAGCAATTTCAGGAATATACGTACAAGAATTCACTGTACATTATGGGAAATCCTACAACTAGTAGTGCTGTATAGCCCTTGTGGCTTAGCGCTTCTTTTTTTATTATAATAATAATAATAATAATAATACAACTAGTAGTAGTCATTCAGCACCTAGGGTATAGAAGGTAATTAAGTTTGAGCCAAGGGATGGAAGGTAGCTCAAATTTCTTTGATCAGAGTTCCCTGACTGCCATCATGACCCCTTGAGGAGTCAAAGATATATACAACTGATTACTTCAAAAAAAAAAAAAAAAAAAAAAAAATGGATCCTCAGTTTTCGTTTGCCCTGATTTTCATCAAATTCGATTTTCGACGACTTGTAACATCAAAATTTTGTCCCAGATTTCATTCACCTCGGTTTTTGTCAGTCTGCCGTACCAAGCGTGTCCGCCTGCCCGTGCCCACACAAAGCATCCTACGCATTCTGAGTCAGTCTGGCTTTGTTTTTTGTGCTTGTTTATTGAGTGCGACTGCTAAATAAGCCATCATGGGGCCAAAGAAAGTTCCAAGTGCCAGCCCTTTGATAAGGCGAGAAACACTTTAGAATTCAAGAATAACAAAAAGAAGGCACAATACCATGACTGGAACAACACACAACCCGCACATAGAAGAGAGGAGCTTACGACGACGTTTCGATCAGACTTGGACCATTTACAGTGTGATTTTGTAAATAGTCCAAGTCGGACCAAAATGTCGCCGTAAGCTCCTCTCTTCTATGTGCGGGTTATTTGTGTAGAATTCAAGAAAGAACTCGTAGCAAAGTACAGGGTTAGATATGAGTGGCCAGGATGTGGAAGAGTTGGTGGACGACCACAGGGAAGAGCTAACCACTGATGAGCTGCAACACCTTCAACTTGAACAGCAGCAGGTTGCAGCTCCGGAAACTGCTTTAGAGGAATCATCCTCTGAAGCGATTTCCGGAGGGAAGAATGTGCCTTCTTCAGTGATTAAGGACGGGTGCAAAGTGGCGTGAGTTGCAAAGTTTTGTTGAGAAATACCATCCTAACAAAGCTGTTGCAAGCCGTGTCTGCAACATATTCAGTGACAATGCCTTGTCCCATTTTACGCAAATCTTAAGACTCCAGAAACAGACCTCTCTGGACAGATTTTTTGTGTGACAGGGGTCCAGTGCCAGTAAAAGACAAAGGAAGTAACCCCGGATAGGGACTTGATACCTGAAGTCCTTATGGAGGGGGATTCCCCTTCCAACCAATAACCTCTCCTCCCCTCCTCATGTCTTCCATACACTAACAAGAGTCTTCAATAAAGGTAAAAGTGATATTAAATGTTCATTTATCCATATTTATTTCTCATCGTTTTCTGTACGTAAAACTGTAGTTTTACAGAACAGATTAATTGGATTTACATTATTTATGGGAAATATTGCTTCAGTTTTAGTCAGACTTTCTGTAACGAATTACTGACAAAAACTGAGGTTCCACTGTACTATAATAAAAACAATACTGTGTATACTGTGTAACAAGACTTATCGTCTTGTAGAAGGTTGGTATATTTGCTATTTGAGGATGACCCTCTAACTCAGACACATTGACTTTTTGACTAACTGATTTACTGCACAAACTTTGGTGATGATGCCTCTAGCAGTTTTCACAGCCCTTTCTACCTCAATTTCTTGCTACCCTTTACCCCTGCACCCTTCCTTGTATGGGGGACCCTTGTTGGTTTAGTGCTTCTTTTTTTTATTATATTAGGAGATGAACCAGTTGTTTAGTTTCTTGAAAATGACCAATTAATTTGCTATTTATAGATGAAGGGAAGACAAATTAGGGCAAATCACTTTTAAAACTAAGTTGGAGCTGGTTTCCTCTCCAGTTATTGTTTATTATATACTGTTCATAAGATAAACATTGTCACCCAATTAGCATTAACAACATGCTCATTACAGGATGATTATCCCAGAAATAAAAAAAAAAATATATATAAACTTTGGTACTCTGAATCTTACTGCTTTTATCACAGTAACATCTTTTATAGTATTATTCCAAATGCTTTAATCAACAATTCCAAAACTTGGTTACACAAAGCTTTTTCATACATAAATATATTCCCAGTTTACATACATTTCCATTGTTTATTGCATTGATAGTCTACTTATAAAACTTTAAACATGCATGTGCAATAGAAATAATCTGCTCTTAATTGGTTGTATGCGGGAAGAAAGTTGAAAGGGAACATAAATAAGAGTAAGGTGATAAGGGTATCAAGTTACGTAAAGAAAAACTGGATATCACATTGGAGGGAATATGGAATAAGAATGTGTTCAGATATATGGGAGTAGACTTGTCAGCAGATGGGTTTATGAAGGCCAAGGTTAACCACAGAATTAATGTAGGAAAAAAGGCGAGTGGTGTGTTGAAGTATCTGTGGAAACAAAAGAGTTATCCATGGAAGCAAAGAAGGGAATATAGTGGTACCAACACTCTTATATGGGTGTGAAGCATGGGTTGTAAATGCTGCAGAAAGGAGGCTGGAGACGTGTGATGTAAATATTATGCAGAGAATTTGTATTGTGGAAATTAAAGATGTGAAGTTACTAAAAGTATTATTCATAAGGCTGAAGAGAGGTCGAGGTGGTTTGGTCATTTAGAGAGGATGGAGCAAAATAGATTGACTTAGAAAGTGTATAAATTTGTATTATTATTATTATAATCATGGGGGACCGCTAAACCCAGAGGATTATACAGCGCATGTGGGGGATAGGATGGAAGGCATTCAGGTAACTGGAGCACAGATCCAATTCCTTAGATCAAGAGACCCTCACCAGCATCAACCCCTCAAGGAGGTTCCTTGATGCTGGTGAGGGGCTCTTGATCTAGGGAATTGGATCTGTGCTTCAGTTCCCTGAATACCTTCCCCCCCCCACATGCGCTGTATAATCCTATGGGCTTAGTGCCCCTGCATGATTATAATTATAATAATGACCATCAAGGAATCTCCCTTGAGGGGTATAAAGCTGTAGTGGAAGAGAGGAGGGGCAAGGGTCATCATAGGAAAGGATGGAGGGGGGGTAGAAGAGGGTTTTGTGTGCAAGGGGCTTGAACATGCATCAAGCATGTGAGAGCATGTAAGATAGGAGGGGAGACGAATGGTTTATGGGACTTGACAAGTTGTTGGAGTGAGCAAGGTAATACTTTGTAAAGGGTTTTAGGGAAACCAGTTAGCTGGATTTAAGTCCTGGAGGTGGGAAGTACAATACCTGCATTCTTAAGAGGGGTTTGGAATATCTGCCGTTTCCAGCAACATCTGAACTGTCGTATCCGAGTGCCTCTGCAGACATTATGTATGGGTCACCGTGTCTCAGTGGGAGCAGCTGGAGTGTTGAAAACCAAACACACACACATAATTTTTTAATTTATTTGTCTAATTTTGCAATTAAGTCATTAAACAGACTTGAAAGTATTGTAAATCACATTTACCTGTATATTAGTTTTGGAATCTGTCCTTTATTAGTTATGCAATTAGGATTTTTTCTTGCCTTAATGCAGTGCAAATAAGTTTACTGTGAATAAAACAAATCTGCATAACAATTATTATTGACCCAGTTGCTAAATGGACAGAGTTCATCAAGAGTTTTCTTAAGAATTAAAAAGCTCATTAATTTTTTGTTCCCGCTGAAACTTTGTTTTATGAAATTCAATTAATTCTGGCTACTTTGAATTAACTGAAAAATCCATTAGTTTTAATTACTTTTTTAACAATGTAACATGGATATTGTAATTTAAGACCATTTATTTAAGCTAGTATCCCTTCAAGGGAGGTGGTCCCTCTAATTTCCCAGCACTGACACTTACAGGTTTACCACTTTCTCCATGAAAGTAATATGCTATTGTAGACTGGATAGACCTCACTTTCACCGGAGATGAGGTGCTGTAGCTACATTACAGTCTTTATCTCCATTAAAGGAAGATGGCTTGAGGCCAATAAAGATTTTGATCAAAGGAACTTGACTTGCCCTCCCTCCCTTGGATTGAACCAGTGTGCCTCCCATTTCCTGAGTGATGTGTTACCTCTACAGGTTTAATACTTTCCCCAGATTACATTAAATTTATCTATCTCACACAAATTAAAAAAATTACTTATACTGACAAAAGTTTAGGGTGCTACCCTTGCAGTTTAAAAAAAAAAAAATGCATCTGAAGACATCCTTACATCTTTTGTCAACATATTCTATGTAATTACAATACCAATTTGTACTTGTAAAGTATAATTACAATACAGGTGATACTGACTTAACCTTGATATGCAAGGTCATTGCAGCTGCAAAGGCTTTACCGGACAAGACTCGTCTTAAAGCATTAACTATGATACAGTTCAAAACTGTTGATTAAAGCAGATGTTGAGAAAATGTAACAGTTCTATCAATGAAATGCCCCTATAAATAAATATAAACATGTATTTTATATATATTTATATATACAGTGGACCCCCGCATAACGATTACCTCCGAATGTGACCAATTATGTAAGTGTATTTACGTAAGTGCGTTTGTACGTGTATGTTTGGGGGTCTGAAATGGACTAATCTACTTCACAATATTTCTTATGGGAACAAATTCGGTCAGTACTGGCACCTAAACATACTTCTGGAGTGAAAAAATATCGTTAACCGGGGGTCCACTGTACATGTATATACAGTGGACCCCCGGTTAACGATATTTTTTCACTCCATTAGTATGTTCAGGTGCCAGTACTGACCGAATTTGTTCCCATAAGAAATATTGTGAAGTAGATTAGTCCATTTCAGACCCCCAAACATACACGTACAAACGCACTTACATAAATACACTTACATAATTGGTCGCATTCGGAGGCAATCGTTATGCGGGGGTCCACTGTATATATAATTAGTGTATATATATATACAGTGGACCCCCGCATAACAATTACCTCCAAATGCGACCAATTATGTAAGTGTATTTATGTAAGTGCGTTTGTACGTGTATGTTTGGGGGTCTGAAATGGACTAATCTACTTCACAATATTCCTTATGGGAACAAATTCGGTCAGTACTGGCACCTGAACATACTTCTGGAGTGAAAAAATATCGTTAACCGGGGGTCCACTGTATATATACACACACGTACATACATAAAGTAGGGCCCCACTTATACGGCAGATTAGGATTGGGGCTATCACCAGAAAGCAGAACACCATTTTTTCCACTTAAAAATGCATGTAAATGTCAGGTAAGTTTACACTAACATGTGTCAGCAATAGAACTAGGCATTTGAAACAATAAAAAGTAAAATACACAAACAGCACACTCATACTTAAAATATTTGTTGTCTTATTGTAGGGTGAGAGTAGTAGTATTTATTTATAGGAAGTCGGGTGTGGGAGGTATGATAGCTGGCCAGGCCAGCCCACCCCACCCACACGTAATATACTACGTCATTTAGAGCGCTCCAGAACAAAATGAATACAAAGTGCATTAATTACTTGCCTTAAAATATTTTAAGTCTCAATGTAGGGCGAGAGGTGAGTAAACGAGGTAAAACAAATGAGAGAGAGAGAAAATGAGTATTATTATTATTATAATCAAAAAAGCGCTAAGCCACAAGGACTATACAGCACTGCAGGGCAGGAAGGAAATGAGGGCATCAGGTGGCAAAAGGGAGATGGATGAGTAATAGGTTACGGATAACAGCGGGGTAGTGGATGGTGAAAGGGTAAAGGGCAGCAAGAGACTGAACTAGAAAGGGCTGAGGGGAGTGCGAAAAGTATCATCAGAGTTTGTGGAGTAAATCAGTCGTTGTCAAGAAGTCAATGAGAGAGTCAGGATTAAAGGAGGGTCCATCAGCAAGAAGGGAAGGTAAAGAGAGAGTAGTAGAACGAAGACGACGTTGGAGGTAAAGTCTGCGTGCTCGTTGATAGAGAGGGCAGTCTAACAGAATGTGGCTAATCGATACTGGAACTTGACACTGCTCACAGAGAGGAACAGGGTGCCTCTCCATGAGATACCCATGAGTAAGACGAGTGTGGCCAATGCGAAGGCGGGAGAGAGTGGTCTCCCAACCTCGGCACTGATGACAAGAAGACGGCCAGTAACCTATGCTTGGTTTAATAGAATGAAGTTTGTTACTGAGCAGAGTTGACCAACGTTGTTGCCAATGGGTGTGAAGGTGGGTAGCTATTGCAGCAAAATAGTCCAGAAATGGAACACCTCTATAGGAAATTGGTAGGTCATGTACTGCTGACCACGCAGCAGTGTCTGCCTGTTCATTGCCCTGTACGTCGACATGACCAGGGACCCAAAAAAACAATATCTTTGTTTGGTAGAGATACGGCGTAGCCAAAGTTGGATACGGAGAACTAGGGGGTGAGATGTATCAAATTTTCGTATAGCCTGTAGAGCACTAAGGGAGTCTGAGACTACCACAAATGATGACACAGGCATAGATGCGATACGAATAAGTGCTGCAAGAATGGCATACAATTCAGCAGTAAAAATGCTAGCTGAAGATAGTAAATGCCCCAGCACGATGCTGTCCGGAAACACTGCTGCGAATCCGACGCCGTCTGAAGACCATCTGTGTACACAGCGGTGGCATGAGAATGGGAGTGGAAGTGATCAAGAAAAAGAGAGCGGGAAGCCACCGTAGGCAGTTGAGCTTTCGAGCAAGGGAGTGAGAAAGAACAGACCCGAACAGCTGGAACTTCCCAGGGGGGTAGGGAAAAGTGAGATGCTACATGAACATATAAAGGTGGTAACTGAAGGGAAGACGAGTGAATGTAGGCGAAGAGAAAAGGGACGGAGCAAACGGGTGGCGAACGGATAAAGAATGTCTACTAATATCGGTGACCATTCTATAAATTGAAGGATTGTGGAGATCGTGAGTGTACATAGCGAAGGCAATGGGCATCACGGCGATCAGACAAAGATGGAACATTCGCTTCTGCATAGAGGCTCTCAACAGGGGAAGAGCGAAAAGCACCAAGGCACAAACGTAATCCTTGGTAATGGATAGAGTTAAGGCTAGAGAGAGTAGCAGGAGAGGCCGCGGAATAAATCTGGTCACCATAATAGAGTTTCGATAAAACGAGGGCTGAATGTAGGCGAAGCAGAGTTCGACGATCAGCTCCCCAGGAAAGATGAGCAAGGGTTTTAAGAAGGTTTAGCCGGCTGTGACAAGTTGCCTTCAGAGAGGTAATGTGAGGTTTCCAGGATAACCGACGGTCAAAGAGAAGGCCTAGAAACCTGACTGTATCACGTTCGGGGATACGGGAGCCATAGAGATACAAAGGATGATTGGAGATGACAGAGCGTCTAGTGAAAGTAATTTGGCGAGTTTTGGTACTTGAAAATTTAAACCCATGCGTGGTGGCCCAAGTGGAAACACGGTCGACCGCATGCTGGAGAAAAACTGCAATGAGATGACAGTCAGCGCCTGCACAAGCAATAGCGAAGTCATCAACATAGAGTGATGACCAAATATTGGGTGGAAGAACAGAGGCCAAATCATTTATAGCAAGGAGAAAAAGTGTTGTGCTTAGAACACATCCCTGAGGGACACCTTCAGCTTGGACAAAGTCCGGGGAAAGAACATTATTGACTCGAACACGGAAATGTCTGTCAGTTAAAAAGTTCTTAAGAAAGGATGGTAGATTGCCTCGGAGGCCTAAGGAGTGGGCCTGGGCCAAAATATTATACCTCCAAGTTGTGTCATATGCCTTCCCAAGGTCAAAAAATATGGCAATAACTGAGTGATTATTCACAAAGGCATTACGAACATATGCATCCAAGCGCAGTAAGGGGTCTATGGTAGAACGACCTTTACGAAAGCCATATTTACTTGCGGAGAGACTGTTGTGTGTCTCTAAATACCACATTAAACGTCGATTTACGAGACGTTCCATCACTTTGCAAACTGCACTAGTAAGAGCGATGGGACGATAGTGGGAGGCATCATGTCCTGTAGTACCCGGTTTACGGAAAGGGAGAACAATGGCAGATTTCCACAGCTGGGGAAGAACTCCTTGTGCCCAAATAAGATTGAAGAGGTGTAAGAGGACTACAAGGGCTGACCGATGTAAATGTTGTAACATACGAATATGAATGTCGTCAGGCCCATCTGCCGATGATCGGCAAGCTGAGAGCGTTGCCTCTAGTTCTTGAAGTGTAAAAGGCACATTATACTGTTCTTCTCTGAGAGAAGAAAGGTCCAAGGGTACTAACTCTCTGGCAGACTTTGAGGAAAGAAACGAGGGGCATAGATGGAGCCCCCAGGAAATACGGACCAGATGTGTGCCAAGTTCAATGGCAACGTCGAGAGGGTTTGCTACATCAACACCAGCGACCCGTAGAACAGGAGCCAGGTCAGGAGAGTATTTACCACTCAATTTCCTCACTTTTTTCCAGACTGCACTCATAGAAGAAGCATAGGTGATGGTGGAAACATAGTCTCGCCAACAAGTGCATTTAGCTTCATGGATGACACGGCGAGCGATCGCACGCTTCTGCTTAAAATCAAGAAGTCTCTCAGCGGTTCTACTGTACTGGTACCTGCCCCATGCAGTGCGTTTCAAACGTACTGCACGAGCACAAGCAGGAGACCACCAAGGCACGCACTTCTGAGAATGCCTGCCTGAGGTTTGGGGTATAGAATGAGAAGCTGCGGTAGAAACTGATGTCGAGAAGAGGTGTAGGAGCTCATCAATGGAGGATGAAGAAGGAACCTCACTAAAAGCAGTGAGGTGTGAGTAAAGATCCCAATTTGCCCGATCAAATTGCCAGTGAGGGCTATGGAAAGGTGGTGAATAGGAAGGAGAAGTAAGAATGATTGGAAAATAATCGCTGTCATGTAAGTCCGGTAGAACAGACCAGGTGAAGTCTAGTGCAGTGGAGGAAGAGCAGACTGATAAATCGATGCAAGAGAGAGTATGAGTACGAGGATCAAAATGGGTGGGAGTACCCGTATTTAAAACATGGAGGGGGTGAGAGGCGAGAAAAGCCTCCAACTGGATGCCACGCGAGTCACAGTGAGACCCCCCCAGAGGAAATGGTGGGCGTTAAAATCACCAAGTAACAGAAGTGGTGGTGGTAAGGATGAAACAAGAAAGGCAAAGTCTGGGATAGAAAATGCTCGAGAAGGAGAGAGATATAAAGAACATATTGTAAACCACTTATTCAAGTGGATACGGGCTGCAGTGTAATGCAGCGAGGTATGGACAGATAGTTGACAGTACGGAATATCATTGCGTAGAAGGGCACTTTCATTAAAGGTCCCATCTGAGAAAGGATCCGAAGAATACAATAAATTATAGCCTGAGATAGGTTGGAAAACAGCCGAGTGTAATTTTGGTTCTTGTAAGCAAGCACCAACAGGGGAAAACCTGGAAAGCAACATCTGAAGCTCACCCCGATTACCCCTGAGGCCGCGGATATTCCACTGTAAATAGGCCATGATTGGCGATGAAGAAAATACCAGGAATCCGTAGGGAAAGGCACCTACGGACTAGAGGGGTTGGAAAAGTCAACGTGTGGTGGCATTGGAAGACGTTCAAGCAGCGAAGGAACGGAGCGTTGCGAAGATGGAGAAGGAACAGGAAGTGAATCGGTGTCCATTGAAGGTTTAGTCTCTGCAATATAATCTGAAATGGCTTCAAGTGTTTCTGAATTCAAAGATGAATGGGAGACCATATTGGAGATAGAAGGAGGGTGAGTAAAGATTGGGACAGTAATCGACTGTAACAAAGGAGAGGGGAAGGGAAGAGTGTAAGGGACTGGAGATGAAGTGGGGGGGGGGGACAAGAGGCAGAAACCTGGGAGGTGGAAGGCATAGTACGAGGAGGAGGGTGAATCTCCACACTTGTAATAGAGCCAGAGAGAGGGGAAGAACTAGGTACAGAGACTGGAAAGGTAAAGTGTGGAGGTGGAAGAAGGGAAGGAAGGGGCAAAGAAGATTTGAGCAACGTGGATTTTTTGGACTTCTGAGAAGTAGAGGGGCGATTGGTATTAGGTGTCGTACGAGGTCTTGTCGATACTGGGGCTTGTGAGGAAGGACGCGAAGATGTGAGAACAGACTTGAGTTGTAGTCGGGATGTCAGAGCCAAGGGCAGCAAAAGGATTAGATGCCGGAGTGGCTATGGGAGGGGTAACAACAGAGGAGGCTGCAGAAGATGGGACCCCAGAAGTGGGGGGATGTTTTGAAACATGAGAATAAGAAACACGGGGTAGTCTCCCTTGGAGGCGGAGATGAGTAACTGCCATAGCACAAGGGAGACCTTCTGCCTCTTTGAGGCAACGGATTTCACGTTCATTTAAGTAGACCTGGCAACGGCGGGAGTATGAAGGGTGAGCTTCATTACAATTAAGGCAAGATGGAGGTTGACTGCAAGATGTATTAGAATGTTCGTCGGCACCACAGACTGGGCATTCGGCCATAGATCTGCAATATTTCGCTGGGTGACCAAAACGCCAGCAATTTCTACACTGTTGCAGTGTAGGTATCACCTTTCGAACTTGTAACCGATGTCCTGCGACATATACAGAGGACGGGAGTTCTCGGCTGTCAAAAAAACTAGCCACACTGCAAGGGTAACGTCTCCGCCCACGGGCAGGAAGGACATAAGTGTCTACTTTGAGGATTGGGAGATCCTGGAGTTCCAACTGTTCAAGAATGTCATTGCCACATGACTGGAAATTCTGTTGGACTATGGTATGGGGCAGAATGACAGTACCACTACAAGAATTGAGAGAAAGATGTTTTTCAATAGTGATAGGAGTAGTATCGATATTCGAAAGGAGAGAAAGATCATGAGCTTGGGTAGCATTCTGGACAGTGATGATGCGCGTACCGCTCTTGAGAGCATGAAATGAAATATCTCTACCAACATGACACAGGAGCGCTTTGCCAATACTATGGTCAGAAAGGTAGGCAGAAGAAGAAGTCGGTCTTAAAGTAAAGAATTTAGTCCATTGTGTGGTCCAAAACTGAGCGTGAAGAGGGAGTGCTTGACGTGTCGGTCTTTTCCGAGTAGAATGGGAAGGTAACGAAGGAGCATCATCAGGAGATTGACGTTGGCGTTTAGGAGTAGGACTGGAGTTGGTCTGGCGTGAAATGGGCGGGCGATTCGAAAATTGCCGTACCATAGAGGGAGAAGCCGGAAGCATAGTCAAAGGAGAGCGGAGTTCAGACAAATTGAAGGAGTCAGTCGAAGCCCCGGTACCTGAAGCGGGTGAGGAAACAGCACCAGCAAGAGGTACAGGGGCATCAGGAATGTCCGAAGAGTGGTCTAAACACAAGGCAGGGTCAGAATGGGGTGCGGTATCAAGAAAGGGCCCGGGGGTAGTGGGTTCATGGATTGGGTTCTCCATGGTTAGGTTACTCCTTTGTTTTTTGTTTTTAAGAAAAAAAAATGAAAGAAAAGAAAAGAAAAATAAAAAAAAGAATAAAAAAAGGGGGGAGCGGGGAGGAATAGTTCCCAGGAGGAATGAAAGGGCCGGAAATCTCCCTCCGCGCCCAAAAGGACCTCAGCACTGCTAGTAGCGCAGATGCAGCATGGAACCCGTGCCATACCCTACCCTTCATGCCAGTAAACCAGCAATCCGGGATAGCAACCTCACATCTGCCGAGCTACCTCGGTGGACAAAAGAGAGGGCGGCCAGATATCCGCCACAAAGCATACCTCCTTCGGCCACCACCCCCGGAATCCGAAAGGTGGCTTCCAGAGATGCACCCGTCGCCCGAAAGACACCCAAAGCTACTCCGAGATACCGGAGAGGGATCGGGACATCCCCAGGCGATCCAGATTCCACTGCAAACTACGCCACCGCCAAGAACCTCAACGGAATGGGATGGACCCCGGTATCCTTTCCTTTACCTAGGAACTAGCGCGCCTGTGGGAGAAATCCCAAAGGCCTAAAAGAGGAAGGGCAAAAGGGAGGGGTGGGGAGGAGGAAAGGAAAAAGGGGAGGATGGGATAGGGGAGGGGAGATTGGGGGGTAATTAGGTTCGGTCTGAGGAAAAAGACCGACAGGTCTAATTCCTCAGACGAAGAGCCTCTTCACCACGCCAAGGAGCCCCCCTTGAAGAGGAGAAAATGAGTATATGAGAGAGGAGAGACACGTGGAGTAGGTAAACAGACAAACTTGCCTAGTTTTGGTTCCTACACGTAACATCTGATTTATGTTGTTATAATCATGGGAAGTGCTAAACCCATAGGATTATACAGCACCTGTGGGGGGGGGGGAGGTATTCAGGCTTAATTCAGGGAACTGGAGCACAGATAAGATTTCGTTCGTATTTTTAACTCCGGAGGGTTAGCCACCCAGGAACCTATTTGCTGCTAGGTGAACAGGACAACAGGTGTAAGGAAACGTGTCAAAATGTTTCCACCCGCCGGGAATCGAACCTGGGCCCTCTGTGTGTGAAGCGGGAGCTTCACACAGGGCCTAGATCAAGAGCCCTTCACCAGCATCAAGGAACCTCCTTTGAGGGGCATATTTGTTAATTGATTCTACTGTGGAGTGTATTTATAATGTTTGTATGTTATTTATCTTGTTTAATCCATATTTTTTTCAAAATTATATAATAATGAGAATGTTTATAGTCATGTAATATACAACATTTAATGCACCTCGGTGATTATTAATATGGCATCCTCAAGACTAATATGACACACTTTGTGATTTTAATGTGTACCTGCATGCCAGCACTGTGTAAGTTTATTTAGGTACAGGTACACATAAGTACATAATTATCAGGGTATATATAAAACATATATGGGTGTGAAGCTTGGGTTGAAAATGTTGCAGCGAGGAGGCGGTTGGAGGTAGTGATGTCGTCCTATCTAAGGGCAATGTGTGGTGTAAATATTATGCAGAAAATTCGGAGTGTGGAAATTAGCAGAAGGTGTGGAGTTGTGGGCTGAAGAGGGGTTGGTGTGGTCATTTAGAGAATGGATCAAAGTAGAATGACACGAAGAGCATATAAATCTGTAGGGGAAGGAAGGTGGGGTTGGGGTCGTCCTTGAAAAGGTTGGAGGGAGGGGGTAAAGGAGGTTTTTGTGGGCGAGGGACTTGGACTCCCAGGAAGCCTGCGTGAGCATGTTAGATAGAAGTGAATGGTTTTTGGGACCTGATGAGCTGTTGGAGTGTGAGCAGGGTAATATTTATTGAAGGGATTCAGGGAAACCGGTTTTTATATAGCTGGACTTTAGTACTGGAAATGGGAAGTACAATGCCTACACTTTAAAAGAGGGGTTTGGGATATTGGCAGTTTGGAGGGATAAGTTATACATCTTTATATATGCTTCTAAACTGTTGTATCTGGGCACCTCTGCAAAAACTGATCATGTATGAGTGAAGTGAAAGTGTTGAATGATGAAAGTATTTTCTTTCTTTTTGCGTCACCCCTGCCTCGGTGGGAGACAACTGACTGGGGGGGGGGGGGGGATACAAAACATGAAATAACCTTAAAATCTTGGAAAGTTTCCAGATATAATGCAGACACACGGAGCTCATGGAAAATTTTAACAAACCGGGTGGGGTGCAGTGACTATTAGAAAGTCAGTTGGAGGGGAACTGAATGGCAAGTTTTGGTCATAATTTGAAATGTCCATATTAGCGGAACGCCGTAAAGCGGGGGCCCTACTGTACATAAACTCAAGATTGTCCTAATAAACACTTGTCAATGAATCAACAGAAGGGTGGACAAGAGGCTTGGAACTAGTTCTTACTGTACTATATTTTGTCAGAGACATCAACTGTAACCCAACTGAACTCCTCCCTTAATCTGAGTTGATAGATGAGAGGTAAGAATAGACTTACTGCTAAAGATCCTAGGCTGAAGGGAAGAGTTCAACTGGGTTACAGTTGGTGCCTCTGACAGAAGAGTACAATAAGTACTAGTTCCAAATCTTCCCTATTAGAAGCCCAGTAGCAGAGGCAGTAACGATCGATCTGTCAATTTTGGGACCACGGTTCAAGCCTCTTGTTCATCCCTCTGTTAATTCATACATGTATAAAATTCATATTTATTTTTCTATATACAGAGGGCAAGAGAAATGTACCAAATCTATCACATAATGTTGAAAATATTTTTTTTCTATAGTTATCATTGAGTTGATATTTTCAGATTAATTTACACTTCTGAGAGAGGAATCTCCAAACATACAAAGCAACCTTAAACCCCTGAATGGCAACCTGAGACAAGCCCTGCACCTGAGATCTGGCAATGCTGAAACTGGTCCCCTATATTCAGAGCACCACCTGATGGCAAGTGGAAGGCTTCAAGTAATTGTGCCAACACCTAAACCATCATCAAAAACTTTTCCACTATTATTATTATTTTAAAAAGAAAGATAATTATCAACATTGTAAACTTTAAATTAAATATCTGCACAAGTAGATTAACAAAAAATAAACTTCAATTTTCCAGTTTCTTCTACAGTATTACAAAAAAAATCTAAATATTTTTTTACAGAGCTCTAATTTTAGCTTCTTAATTTATACAGGGTTCCCCAACGTGTGTGTATTCTGAATTTATAAAAACACAAGGGCAATACACTTCAAATATACACTTGTAACTAAGCCTTGTTTCACCATCTTGAATGTATATCCTTAGAGATACATATGCAGTGCCTTAATTTTACTTACTGTAATACTGTAGTCTAAGTAGATTGAAATATAAATATATATATAAATTTATATTCCACTTTTTTAGGACACCAAGGCATTAACAAATATTAGTACTGTACTAACTCTTCTCCCACCCCCCATTTCATCGCATCAGATCTGCAAAATTTACATGGATCCTAAAAAAAAAAAAAAAAAAAAAAAAAAATCCAATACAACCACATCCCTACATACTATGCTTAGAAAAAAACAGATCATTAAAATATTTGTAAAACAAAAAAAAGTATTGATTTATAGTGGCTAAATTCATAATTGATAACATCTGAAATTAAAATCTTTCTGCACAAGGATACTGCTTCATGTTTGCTTAAGGCACACCTGAAAAAATGTCGACATAAGTTGACCAATTTATGACAAACCCAAAAATCGGAAATAAAACCCGGATGACTTCAGTGACTCCTGGACCAACATCAACTTTACAATCATCCGTATTCTACAGTGTAAAATTTTTTCAGCAATATATTAGACTACACCTAATGAGCATCAAAATTTAATAATATGCACTTATCACAGACTGCTACAAAACTAATACATGAAAACAAGGCTTCAGTAACAAATGTATTCAAACTGCTTCTTGTGTATGAAATACATTGTGGTGCAGGAGGTTGCATTAGAGGGTTACAAATTCTAATAAAAAATTAACCATGTACAACAATCATTCAACTCATAAGTGTAAAATTCACTAATATTAAGGGCTCATGTTCTCATATCTTTGCATAATTACAGGTCCCACCACCGGAAAGTGGAACAATACTTCACTGACTACTCTCCAAAACTCGATATCACTCGAGCTGACAGAATGTAATTGCCCAAACCTGAGCTGTCTTTTAAAGAGCACTATTCTAAATTGTGTGGAAAAAGACAATCTTCAGACAGCTCAATCCACATTTGGTTGATGAAATCTAGTCAAACATTACCTGAGAGGCTGCAATCATCAATAACAGCATTGCTGCTTCACTGATGGGACCATGCTTAACATACACGTCCACACAATATACTTACCCATACACACAAACTCATTTAAAAAATATAAACTTTAAGCCTCACGAGATTGATAAAATTTATACTTATTGTATACTACTTGGCTGGACTGTATGCCGGCGGATGAGGAGACTAGTTGAGTCACGGACAGAAGAACTAGAGAAATTTGCTGAAGTGACTAGCTTTTCTTTGAAAGATTCATCCTCACTATCACTTGGTATATACTGCTGTACATTTTGTATCTTGTTGTCCCGCACTGAGTCTAGATAGCTGGCTTTGCTATCAACAACGCTGAGTGAAATTCCAAGCTGAGCTGCATAGTAGGATACCATTATGATGGCCTAGAATGCAAAAAATTTATCAGTGTTAAATTCAGATATGTCTGGTAATATACATATTATCTCAGTAGCACATGCTACTTTTGTAAAGATTATATAAAACATGAAATGAAGAGTTGAAATTATTAGTATACAATCTACTGGTTCTAACAGCAACACTAATTGTAGACCCTTACAAGGGGATGGCTTTATCCCAGTGAAAGGCCCTTGATCCATGGAACTGCTCGTCCCTTGGATCATACGTATCCGATTTCCTATTTCCAGTAAGCTGTATCACTCCTATGGATTCAGTGCTTTCTCATGACATGAATATGATAAATATTTTTTACAATGTTTCAATTAAAATTATTAAAAAAGTCTACAGGAAAAATGCAAATAACAGCACTTATATCTAGAAAGCAGTGAGCAAAATAGAAGTGTAATTACCTGTTTGTGATAATCATGATGTCCCACTTTCATTATTATTAGCATTTGTCTTTTCAAGATGTGGCTCACAAGATACTACTGTACTAACACTTGAATACAGTACACACTATTATGTCACTATGTACTCAAACTCCCTATGCTCTATGTGCCCTGGCCCAGTATACTTTTGTCCACTCTGCAATCCAAAAGCTCCAGGAGTGATTAGCTTGTCATTAAGTGAAATGCAGAACATACATGTGGAATCCTGTTGGTGCCTGGGTCACATTGGTGTCCTGGGAAATGAATGAGCAGATGCAAAGGCAGACACTGCTAAAGTGAGCCCACTCTACAGTAAACTTTTGCCTTGGAGACTTCATGGGCCACATCCACAGATATGTCCTTTAAAAAGTGGCAGGTCCGGCAGGCCCCACAGACTGTCAGCAAGTCATACAGGGTTCAACAAGGTGTGAATGTTTAGCCATCCTTCTTAAACAGGAATCACTACCAAGACAAATCTCTGTCAACAGAGGATTAGCACACATCTTGCCTATACCCAGGTGCTCTTGCCTCCTCTGAGTGGCTTGTGGTGTCCCACTCAGTTTAGTACACACTTAAAAATTTGTCTATAGTTTAGGCCTTTTTGCCTTCATCATACTTTTTATAATTATTTTTGTGCCTATAGAAATTTTGATTATTTTTAACTTGGTATGGTAGTGTTTGTGTGTTGAGCATTTATGTGTGCATTATACATATTTTTATTGCTATGAGCACTAAGCAGCCTACACGGTCAGAGTGCTCTGAAAATATTACTACATATTGTCATGTAATGAATAGCAGTAGGTGTACAGAAACTTACCTATATGATTCACCCAGCCTGGGAATTAAGTCTGAGATATTTAGAATGTATGCCTAACCTGACTCACAAAATCATAATGACACAACTGCAAACAAAGCATGGTATGGGAGGGGATTGAACGCGAAGTGAGTGAATTGTAAAACTCCAGACCGACGAGTTAGCCACTGGGTCAGTTGGCCCAGTGGCTAACATGGAATAATCATTCTTCATTTCCATATTTTATTTACACTTGTTCCCACTTGGTGTATTGGAATAATGAAACTTTTAATATATTCATTACCTGAGAGTGAGGTATATGACAGTAAAAGGCGCTGAACCCAATACCAGCATCTGACACCGCAAACAGGATGCCACCAACACAGGAGCAAAGTTTCGTCCAGGTCCACAGCTCCTCAAAAAGCTGCACTCTAGCCACTGCCCGCCAAACCATTGTCATTAACAGAAAAGTGTAGACTGGCATGCCAATGCTAACTAGTCCAGATGTTCCTGGCAGTAGAAGATAAATACCTGGAATATGATGAGAGAAGTTAATGATACAATATTATTTTTTTTTAACATGCTGGTCATCTCCCACCAAGGCAGGGTGACCCAAAAAAAAGAAACACTTTTATCATCATTCACACTATCACTGTCTTGTCAGAAGCAAACAGATACAATTTAGATATCCCCCTAAATAGCAAATATCCCAAACCCCTCCTTTAGCATGCTGAATTATAAACTATTCTGCCTCTTTTTATAATCTCATACCATATTTTTTTTAAATTAGCAATAAAAAATTCTTGTATGTATGTGCATTTTCTTGTATACTATGTATCTTTCCCTTCAAAGAAAAGATAACCAATAAAACTATTTTTATGCCCAGTCTTGAAGCTTTTAGTCAATGTTTAATGCAACCTATAATGTAAAGGCAGAAGAAACAAACAATTGTCAAAGTTGGCATTACTGTAGCATACAGACACAATGACATCAGCAGATTAGTAATCCAAATTAGTCCCAAAGTCAATAATGATAGATAAACATCTGTATAGTTTCCCTGTAAAACAGTGTTTGGATTTTTTTTTTTTTTATAACATGTTGGCCCTTTCCCACCAAGGCAGGGTGACCCCAAAAGAAAGAAAAATCTGAGAAAGAAAAAACTTTCATCATTCAACACTTTCACCATCACTCATACGTAATCACTGTCTTTGCAGAGGTGCTCAGATACAACAGTTTAGATGTCCCTCCAAACTGCCAATATCCCAAACCCCTTTAAAGTACAGGCACTGTACTTCCCATTTCCAGGACTCAAGTTTGGCTAATCGGTTTCCCTGAATTCCTTCACAAAATATTGGAAAAATATACTGGCTAAATATTCATGAATCTGAGTAAATGTTTGAACACAAAATAGATATTAGAACAAGCAATAAAAGCAGTGGTGTGCCCTGTCCTGTGAGACTAATCATAACACAGATTTCAAGAATTGCAAATTAGTGTGTAAATCTGGTACAGTAACTATAAAAAGGCAAATTGTTGACTTGACCTCTATTGCTTAAGTCTCAAGTTTAAAATTTTTCTGAAGATCAATTTAATTTAAATAGAGTAATTTACACCAAGGTCCATAGTTATCGTCATTCATGTTTATCAGATCACAGTTGGATACAAGGTAAAGTCATGCTTATTCCAACTGAAGGTTATGTAATATGACACAATAATGCTGGGTTGAAATCTTTGTTAAATGGTCTTTGTCAAAAAAACAAAAATTGTGGATGGCAACTCATACAAGAATGTTTCCTAGCTTAAATGTTTTAAGCATAATTGCAAACACCCATGACCATGCCCTTAAAAAGGGCATGGTCATTAAAAGGGGCCCTTAAAAAGGGCATAGTCCCCATGGGGACATCAAGCATCCTGCACTGAAACAGAATTAGAGTATTCTGGTATAATATTTTTAAGGTGTCAGGAAAGTGCATAGATTGCTTGGAGCTATGCTAAGATGGAGATGTCAAAATACTGTACAAATCAAATATGAAAATGAGTGATATTTTCAGGGTAATCACACAAGTCACTGATATTTTCAACAACATACCAAAGTGAGCTTGTATTCTTAGTCTTAGTAAAAATCCAAACTAATGCTAGGAATGGGCTAATTAACATGAAGTGACATGTCATTTGTTGAATATGACTAACCCCCTACAGTCCCCCCCCCCCCCCCAAAAAAAAATCACATTTTTAGTAACTTAATGGATCATCCTAGCTGGTTTGGTGACAAAATGTGCAGAGTGAATGGTGCAGCATAATAGAATATCATTAAATGGTGCACATATGCAATGCCAAGTGTTCAATTTAATTTTGAAGAAGTGTAACTGTTCATGAATTTTCTATTAACGTTAAAAAACATTTACATTCACTATATACATTGCATTTTAACTTTTCATATGTTCAATATGTTTTTGGCAAGAAGCATGTGGCATAATTTGTCTAAACTGTTGTATGCACTGACTGAATGTAAACCTTTGTACCATACTGTGTAAAAGCACAGAGCACATCTTATTATTAATTTCTTTTAAGGAAATGTAAAAAAAAAAAAAACAATTTAAGAAGACAGTGATCTGCTCATGCTTGTTGCTGTACCCATGACACAGTAACCAACACCAAACAGGATACCCATCACGTTACTTGTCATCCATTATTTGAGCATAAGCAGAACAATTGCTCATTACCTCTATTTTGATTACTCATACACTTAAAACTTGTACAGTGGAACCCCGGTTTTCGTCCGGTCTGGATATCGTACAATTAGGATTTCAACCCCTTTTTTTTAGCTAATTTTTACCCTGGGTTTCATACAACTGCTCATAAATCGTCCGTATCAGTCGGGTCCGGCCGCCCAGGACGCCGCCACTCACACACACCTGACTCAGTTTGCCTCTGTCTCTTGTTCAGTGAACAATACTCCAAGCATTCATCCGCTGTTTTTGGAGCTTGCTTATCGAGTGTGACTGCGAAATAAGCCACCATGGGGTCAAAGAAAGTTTGTAGTGCCAGCCTTTTGGTAAAGAAGATGAGAAACATGAAAGACTTCAAGAAAGAGCTTGTATCAAAATACAAAAGTGGCATATGTGTGGCTGAGCTTGCCAGAAACAGAACTCTCTGGACAGATTTTTGTGTGACAGGGGTACTGTGACTCAAGCTGGTCCTAGTGCCAGTAAAAGACAAAGAAGGGAAGTAACCCCAGAGAGGGCTTTGATACCTGAAGTCCTTATGGAAGGGGATTCCCTTTCCAAACAATAAACTCTCCTCCTCGCCTTGTTCCATACGCCAACAAGAGTCTTCAATAAAGGTATGTAATAGTGATTTAAATGTTCATTTATCCATTAAAATTAGTCATTTATATTTCTCATTGTTTTCTGTATGTAAAACTACATATAGTTATTCTCTATAAAATGTATTTTTTGTTAATATTTTTGGGCGTCTGGAACATATTAATTGGATTTACATTATTTCTTATGGGAAATATTACTTCGGTTTTCATCCATTTCAGATTTTGACCGATCTTCTGGAACGGATTAAGGACAAAAACTGGGGTTCCACTATACAGTATTTCTGTACGTAATCAGTTAATCTTTAAAAATGACAAATGGTCCATTCTATACACTCTTAATATACTATACTGTACAAAATAAAATTAAGCAAGTTTGAAGCATGTGTAACTATTAGTTTAACACAGTGACAAGTAATTATCTCTTCTAAATAATACTGTAATACAAAAAGCTAAAGAATACAATTTTACAAACCTAAAGCTGTGAGAGAATATACGACAGTGGCAACATATATGTTGAATGGTCGGAAGCCAAAGGCAGAGATATACAAAATCTGTGCAATTAGAAATGATCCAAGGCCATGGACAAAGAAGTCTTCCCAGATAAGTAGTGCATCACCAAATACAGAGAAGATCAATCCCAGTAATATTCTTCTAGAATAAGCGTACCTGGAGAAAAAAGATCTAGTATAAGAATACACAATGTATAGTAGCAGTTAGGGATGAGATGACAACAAATTATTTGCGGATGCTGATACCCATACTCAATTTTATTCCGATGCTGATGCCATCAAAACTAGGCGATACTTTAACACATCCCTAGTAGCAGTACCATACAGTGATGAATAGTATTAATATATTTTAATCCTGAGGAACTTCGTAAGTGTACTGTACTCTACTTCTATAATAAAAGAACTGTGCTTAAAAGCCAATTATATAAAGACTGTCAGTAAAAGAATATCTTAGGTATATCATACTTATATAGGCAGCTTTTAAAAGCCACCATGAGGCTCCCAGATTTGGTTAAAAAGTGAAATATCCACAAAATCACATGCAAGTCATAAGCTTAATATAAACTCCATTAATTTATTATTTATGCTTCTAATGATTACAATCAAGATATCCTTTGATACGAGATTTACTAGAATATATTTGCATTGTAATTTAAATCACTTGCTGTATCTTCACTGTATCTTAAATCACTCCATAAAATTGAAGATCATTAAACTAGTTTAAATAATAAGTATTTTTTTTAATTGACCAATTATCATTAGTCCTTTTCTTTGTGTACTTAAGATTGTAATTAACCACAAAAGAAATGTTACATACTAGCCATGTCTAGTTCTTCAGTAGCATCTAAGTCTCATGATTAGTTGCCTGAAATGCATTGCATAATTAGTGGCTTTCTAGTGTACATACTATTGCATGATACATTTCTTCTGTCAACAAACCAGCTGCATCCCACTGAGGCAGGGTGGCCCAAAGAAAAACAAAAATTCTCCTGTAATGTATACAGGAGAAGGGGTTACTAGCCCCTTGCTCCTGACATTTTAGTCACCTCTTATGACTCACATGACTTACAGAGGAAGAATTTTGTTTCACCTCCCCATGGAGATAAGAAATAAACAAGAACAGGAACTAGTAAGAAACTAGAAGAAAACCCAGAGGTAGGTAGGTGTGTGTGTGTGTGTATATTATATATATATATATATATATGTATATATATGTATATTATATTATATATATTATATATATATTATATATTATATATATATTATATATATAATATTATATAAACAGTGGACCCCCGGTTAACGATATTTTTTCACTCCATAAGTATGTTCAGGTGCCAGTACCGACCGAATTTATTCCCATAAGGAATATTGTGAAGTAGATTAGTCCATTTCAGATCCCCAAACATACACGTACAAACGCACTTACATAAATACACCTACATAATTGGTCGCATTCGGAGGTAATCGTTATGCGGGGGTCCACTGTATATGTGTGTGTGTGTGTATATATATATACACAACATATCCCTCCAAACTGCCAATATCCCAAACCCCTCCTTTAAAGTGCAGGCATTGTACTTCCCATTTCCAGGACTCAAGTCCGACTATATGAAAATAACCGGTTTCCCTGAATCCCTTCACTAAATATTACCCTGCTCACACTCCAACAGATCGTCAGGTCCCAAGTATCATTCGTCTCCATTCACTTCTATCTAACACGCTCATGCATGCTTGCTGGAAGTCCAAGCCCCTCGCCCACAAAACCTCCTTTACCCACTCTTTCCAACCCTTTCGAGGACGACCCCTACCCCTCCTTCCTTCCCCTATAGATTTATATGCTTTCCATGTCATTCTACTTTGATTCATTCTCTCTAAATGACCAAACCACCTCAACAACCCCTCTTCTGCCCTCTGACTAATGCTTTTATTAACTCCACACCTTCTCCTAATTTCACACACTCGAATTTTCTGCATAATATTTACACCACACATTGCCCTTAGACAGGACATCTCCACTGCCTCCAACTGTCTCCTCGCTGCTGCATTTAACCACCAAGCTTCACATCCATATAAGAGTGTTGGTACTACTATACTTTCATTACATTCCCTTCTTTGCCTCCATAGATAATGTTTTTTGACTCCACATATACCTCAACGCACCACTCACCTTTTTTCCCTCATCAATTCTATGATTAACCTCATCCTTCATAAATCCATCCGCCAACACGTCAACTCCCAAGTATCTGAAAACATTCACTTCTTCCATACTCCTCCTCCCCAATTTGATATCCAATTTTCTTTATCTAAATCATTTGATACTCTCATCACCTTACTCTTTTCTATGTTCACTTTCAACTTTCTACCTTTACACACATTCTCAAACTCATCCACTAACCTTTGCAATTTTTCTTTAGAATCTCCCTAAGCACAGTATCATCAGCAAAAGTAACTGTGTCAATTCCCATTTTGAATTTGATTCCCCATAATTTAATCCCACCCTCTCCCGAACACCCTAGCAATTACTTCTTTTACAACCTCATCTATAAATATATTAAACAACCATGGTGACATTACACATCCCAGTCTAAGACCTACTTTTACCGGGAAGTATTCTCCCTCTCTTCTACACACCCTAACCTGAGCCTCACTATCCTCATAAAAGCTCTTTACAGCATTTAGTAACTTACCACCTATTCCATATACTTGCAACATCTGCCACATTGCTCCTCTATCCACTCTATCCTATGCCTTTTCTAAATCCATAAATGCAATAAAAACTTCCCTACCTTTATCTAAATACTTTTCACATATATGCTTCAATGTAAACACGATCTACACATCCCCTACCCACTCTGAAGCCTCCCTGCTCATCTGCAATCCTACATTCTGTCTTACCTCTAATTCTTTCAATTATAACCCTACCGTATACTTTTCCTGGTATACTCAGTAGACTTATTCCTCTATAATTTTTACAATCTCTTTTGTCCCCTTTCTCTTTATATAAAGGGACTATACATGCTCTCTGCCAATCCCTAGGTACCTTCCCCTCTTTCATACATTTATTAAACAAAAGTACCAACCACTCCAACACTATATCCCCCCCTGCTTTTAAAATTTCTGTTATGATCCCATCAGTTCCAGCTGCTTTACCCCCTTTCATTCTACGTAATGCCTCATGTACCTCCACCACACTTACATTCTGCTCTTCTTCACTCCTAAAAGATGGTATATATATATATATATATATGCTTGTACATGTATGTGTAGTGTGACCTAAGTGTAAGTAGAAGTAGCAAGACATACTTGAAATCTTGCAACTACATGTAATACATTTATCTACATAATTTTTATGGCTCAAAGAAATAAACAGTATTACTACTATTACTCCAGTTATACATTCATAACCACCACATTTCATTAGGGAACTGGAAGAACTGTACAGTAAGATAAGATTTGCTCAGATTTTTAACTCAAGAGTATTAGGCACCCAGAATAACCTGAGACAATCAGTGTATCATCGGGGACTGTCTGTCTGATTTCCATTGGGGTTCTTCAATCGTCCCCGAACATGCAATCCACACCAGGTACTGTACCTACTTAATGGTAGGTGAAGTGGGACAGCAGGAGTAAGGAAACATGCCCGATGTTTCCACCCATGCCAGGGAGTGAACCACGGACACTCAAGTGTGTGAGACAAGAGTGATGCCAACTGAGCCACTGGACACCCATACGGTAGTACAGTATATTAAAATATATAAGAATAAGTAGGAATTATGTACTATATTAAATTAGCCTGATATCTTAATGCTCAAGACAAGAAAGATCCTTTTAGAAACATGCTTCTGTTTTATCACTCATATTCCAGGATGGTAGCCCCTACCTGAATGCGGTACGAGTCTAATAAAAAATAAAACTACATACAGTGTGGATAGTAAACCTTGCACTAGAAATGCTTTTGTTTCATACTGTATGTACATCATATTTTGAAATAACAGACTAGCTGCTGACACCCGAGATAAAGACACAGTAGCAAGCTGAGCCTTTATCGGACAAGCTTTCAACATCACACAACTTATTGCATAACTCATTATCCAAAAACATGAACCAGCACGTGATCTTGCGAAGTTATTCCTCTCTCTGTCTGTCACCACCACATCTTTTCCATTCAGCTCTATTTCTATGTACTGTACCTGTGTAAATGAAGGTCTGATAGTGATATAAATAAAATCAAAGCAAAATAGGTATTAATACAGATAACATTGAGGTTATTGCTGACTTCTTATATTCCAGAGTCAACAAACTTGTACACGAAGTGAAAACCAAAAGCACCCATTTATAAAACAGAAAATATAGGTATGTGTTTGCTGATAAAAATAAACATGTTAAATATAAATGCTGTTTCTCTATTAACTACAATATATGTGCATCTGGAATAAGTTTTATTTATTTTACAAATAATGCTCCTCTGATAAATATATATATATATACAAACAAAGAGCATGTTTTGGAAGGTGGCAAAGTTCCCTATGTGATCCTTAGACCACTCAGTCACAGATGCCTCAAAATGTTAGGTAGCCTGGTTACAAGCCATGTTTCTTCCTAGTGCAGGGCATACCAGTGATCCTCAGGCATGTTTTCCAGCTATGTCATTTTCCTTCTGTATGTTCTGACCAAACAAGCAATACTATATCAATGCGCCACACAGAAATAAGCGGAGGTGTGTACAGAGAAAGGCTGCGGTCAGTAGAATTCAAACCCGTGTTTTGGAAGGTCGCATAGTTCCATCCATACTGGCACCACTCAGATAAATTAACCCAAGGTTTACAAAACTCAAAACTGCAGTATGAAACTGCAACACTACTTACTCTTCTCCAAGGCTCATGCCATGTAGTAAAACAAAGGCAATCAGAGAGAGGACTGGCAGGCACTTTATTGCCATGGCAAAGATAGAAGGTTGATCTGATGGGATGAACAAAACAAAGTAGATTGCTACTGTCTTGAAGAATGGCACCAACTTGGGACCCACACTCTTTAACTGTAATAAAACCATAACACAGTTTCATTAGAACTGTTAAGTTCAGTACAGCATGTACACACATTCCAACACCTCTATACAGAAGATGCAGTATTGTAACATAAAAATAAATTATCAATCATGCACTACAAAAAATACAGTGGCAATAGGACTGTATGTACTATACTTCATATCTTGTATATTAACATCACAAAATCTGTAGATAAAAAAAAAAAAACTGGTAGTTTCCCATTAAGACATACATCCATCATTGCACATTTCTCAGCTGACTTTCCAGAAGGGCAAAGTCATCTTCACCACAATGATTCCCATTAAATATTGAGAGTGCAGCTAATGTACTTTCCAAACCCAAAGCTCCTCTAAGTCCATCAAACTAGTTTCCCTGAAATACTTCATAAATATCACCATGCTTAAACCTTGTGTCAGATCCAAATGGTTACTCACCTCCACTGGATAGTCAAAGTACCTACCTCTCAATATCTCCTTCACTCTCTCCATCCACACCTCTAATCAACATATCTTGGTCTACTCTTTCTACATTGCCAATTATTATTCTATTTGTGACAAATGCTTAACCTTCAGTTGGTTATACAGCACCTGGAGAATATGAGGCAATCAAGTTTGGTACAAGGGGAAGAGTTTCGATTTCTTGGATCAAAAGCCCTTGACTGGCTTTCTCTCCCCCTTGAAAGGTCTACAGTCTACACCATCTCAACACCTCTTCCATTATTATTATTATAATCAAGGGGGAAGCGCTAAACCCGGAGGATTATACAGCGCCTGGGGGGGGGGTATGTGGAAGGCATTCAGGCTTAATTCGGGGAACTGGAGCACAGATCCAATTCCCTAAATCAAGAGCCCCTCACCAACATCAAGGAACCTTCCTTGAGGGGAACACCTCTTCCATTCTCTGACTTTTATTTTTCATGCCACCACATTAAGCAGAACATACCTAATTTATATTTAAATACAGTATTCATTTGATAAAAAAATTAGTCTGCATTAATGTTTTAACAGAAATTACTAAATAAATTATTAAACAGAAAATACCCTTTAAATTAGTTGCATTAGGTCAACTGCAGTGCAATACCTGTAGTATAATGCTGTAGTTTTATTTGCTATTAACCAACAAAATCTGAAATGGAAACTCAGTCCATCCTGGACCATAATTAAGTCGTAAGAGAAAACATTTATTTATTTATTAATTTGAACATGATACAGAGAAGTACAAGGAATATAATTTTTAAAGTGCAGCATGCCAAAGCCCTTGTCTGCAGAGCATTATGGGCAGGCTTAAAATTAACTAAGCAATGATACATTCAGTGGTACAAAAATTATTGTAAAACAGATAACAATTTAGTACAAATGAGTATTACAAAGACAGGTCATATGGTCATTTACTGTGTAATCAGTAGAATGGAGTACAGTATTCTGTTAGGTAATGAAGTTAAATAGTAACAAAGTTTGACTGGGTCACAGGTTGACATTTATGAGATACAATAATGAGATACATGTCAAGACTGTACAGCGAGATGAAGAGACAGTCAAAGTCAGGTTAAATAATGTGCATTCTTAATATCTGACTGCACTGTATGACACTTGTAGGTTAGTGCTTCTCTTTTTTAATTATAATAATAATAATTATGTTAGACCTGATAAATGTACTGAGGAGAGGCAAGAGAAAGGTTGACTCTGTTTCTGTGGTTATTTGCTACGCCCATACATTGTCAATGGTCGCTATATAATGGAACGTGTGTGATTTGACCCATTTTGTGCCGTCTCCTTAGATATCTACCATAGAAGCCCTATCTTATGAATGATCTGTGTTCCCAGTGTCTTCACTTCACACAGTCATTTGCAAACTCTTACCATATTGTCTTATACAAAATAATGTGAAAAGGTTGGCTATGTTTGTTATAAACAGAGCTACATTCATGATTTTTTTTTTTAATATCGCCTTTTGGGTAGCGTTCATCAACGCAGATTCTGTTTAAAAAAAAACATTAAAAAAAAAAAAAAATTTAAAAAAAAAAAAAAAAAAAAAAAAAAAAAAAAAAAAAAAAAAAAAAAAAAAATAAAAAAATAATTCTCCTGTATCATAAGTCGCAGGGATTACTTTTCTGTACACTTATTAGTACAAGCAATTATACTGTAAAATCAAACATTATCCAAACAACAGTACTGTAATATACAAATAAAAAATTTGAAAATTAAGAAAATACTTCATGGGAAAAAAATAAAACTACTGAATCCTTAATTCATGAGCTAGCACTACTTTAAAGAATCTCGGGCCTTCTTGCTCAAACCTGAGCAACAAGAAGATGCAAATACAATGGTACCTCTGGATACGAACAGCTCAAAACTCGAACAATTATGCAAGTGTATTTATGTAAGTGCTTTTGTAAGTGTATTTTTGGGGGTTTGAAATGGATAATCTAATTACATTATTCCTTTTGAGGAACAAATTCGCCCTTTTTTTTTTTTTTTTATTTTTTTTTTTTTTTCTCCCTTAGGTATTGGCACTCGAAACAGCCTTGCGTATGAATTAAGTTTTCGTATCAAGGTACCACTGTATTCTCAGTGTTACCTGAAGCACCTCCTATTCATTTTACATACAGCAAACCACTACCGGAGAAAGCCCCACACATGCCACAACTTTCTAGGGCTTCCTGCATTGCCAAATTCTTCATTTGTCCACAGATTTACATTAAATACATTCAATCCTATTAAGGATGTATTCTTGTGCTCCAGCATATCACCTAAAACAAACAACAGTACAAAGTATAGTTATCTTGAAAATAAATGCCCCTTCCATCTCCCTTTTTCTTTCTTATCATCTACCAACTCAACCAGAGGCTCAACACTTAAGAGGGAGGGGTAGTTAGGGGTTAAAGAGGAAGATGGCAGAAAACAGGAAAGGAGTGGTGAAGAAAAAGTTAGAATGGAGAATGTGAATTTAGTAATACACTGTACATGGTGAGGTGAAAAGGGTAGCAGATACTGAAAAGGCAGGGGATTAGGGAGAGAGAATAATGAAGAAAAAAAAATGGATTTGTAGAGATGGATTTGTAACACACACAAGTACTGGTGGGTAAGAGAAGAGTAAAGTGATAGGAAGAAAGGGGAGTGGTAAGGTAGCAAAAAGACGCATGAAAGACAGGTAATTTTTCCTGACCAGTCGGCCATCCAGACTTGTCGGGAGTGAGTCTGCAGGAAGGGCAGGTCTTCTGTCCTCTCACTTGCATTTCTTATTCTTTCACTCTGCCTTTATTTCCACCCAATTTTGCCATTCACTCACTCTCATACATGTGTGCACAGGTGTACATACACAACAAGGACTGCAAACCTCGCTCAAGGAGAAAGATCTTGGTGTGACCATAACACCGAGCATGTCTCCGGAGGCACACATCAACCAGATAACTGCTGCCAGCATATGGGTGCCTGGGCAAACCTGAGAATAGATTTATGATACCTTAGTAAGGAATCGTTCAAGACACTGCCTACTCTGTGACATCAGGCCCATTACTGTGTATGCAGCACCTGTTTGGAACCCACTCACTGGCAACATGTCGATGAAATTAGTGAAAGTGCAAAGGTTGCAATAAGGCTGTTCTGGAGCTCAGGGGTATGTCCTACGAAAGAAAGGTTGAGGGAAATCGGACTGACGACATTGGAGGGACAGGCGCGGGTCAGGGGAGGCATGATTAACGACATACAAAATACGGCATGGAATAGATAAGGTAGACAGAGACAGGTTGTTCCAGAGAGGGGACACAGAAACAAGGGGTCACAATTGGAAGATGAGACTCAGTCGGAGTCAGAGGGATGTTAGGAAGTATTTCTTCAGTCATCGGTCGTCAGAAGTGGAATAGCCAAACAAGTGATGTAAGCGGAGGCAGGAACCATACATACCTGGAGTTTACCTGGAGAGAGTTGCGGGGGTCAAGCCCCGCGGCACGGTCTGTGACACAGGCCTCTGGTGGATCAGCGCCTGATCAAACCAGGCTGTTGCTGCTGGCAGCCACGCAAACATAAGTACGTGCCAAGCCCGGCTGAATCAGGAACATGACTTTAGGTGCTTGGTCCAGTCGCCAGCTTGCACATGACTGCCAGGCTTCTGTTGGTAATCCCCCTTATGTGTGTGGGAGGCAGGTGAACAGTCTCGGGCCCCGACACTTATTGTATGGTCTCTTAACGTGCTAGTGGACTACCCCTGCTTGTTCATTGGGGATGTGATGCATCGTCTGCCAAGTCTTTTGCTTTCCAGTAGTGAGTGATTTTCGTGTGCAAGTTCCGGTTACTAGTACCTCTAGGATGTTCCAGGTGTATATAATCATGTATTCTCTCCCCTCCTGCGTTCCTGGGATTTCTAGGTTTTAGAAACCTCAAGCGCTCAGTAAGTGAGGTGTTTTATCTCCGTTATGCGCGCCGTGAAAGTTCTCTGTACATTTTATAGTCGGCAATTTCACCTGCTTGAAGTGCTGTTAGTGTGCAGCCAATAATTTCCGCCTAGATAGAACACGTGACCTGATGAGTTCATTCAGGGGCTTGGCCTCCCTAGTTTTGAAGGTTCTCATGATCCCATCATGTCATTTTCTAGCAGATGCGATTGATACAATGTTATGGTCCTTGAAGGTGAGATCTCGACCTAATCACTCCCAGGTCTTTGACGTTGGTGTTTCTCGCTCTATTGTGTGGCCAGCAATTTGTTTTGTACTCTGATGAGATTTAATTTCAATGTTTACCATTCTGAGTAATTGAAATTTCTCATTCGTTGAACTTCATATTGTTTTCTGCAGGACCACTGAAAGGATTTGGTTGAAGTCCGCCTGAGCCTTGCAGTGTCTGCAATGGAAGGACACTGTCATGCAGATTCGGGTGTAATCTGCAAAGGAAGACACGGTGCTGTGGCTGACTCCTTGTCGATGTCGGATATGAGGATGAGGAACAAGATGGGAGCTAGTACTGTGTCCTTGTGGAACAGAGCCTTTTCACATAGC